CGCCGCACGAAATACACTTTGCCATAGAGTTTGCCCCAAAATACCGTTTGCGCCGTCGAGTAGCCGTTTTCAGTTCCATGCACTCGACGACCAAACACCGCTGGGGGGGAACAAAGGATCCAAGATGGCTGACCGCCGTGTGGCCGGTAGCCCGAACGACGGCCACCTAGAAGAGCCACTAATTACCGATTGCAACATTGTTGCAATCGGTTAACAAGCGCCACACGTCCCTTAGTGTGTGGGCTATTAAAAGATAGTTAATTCGGTTCACGAACAGCTCGCAAAGGCGCTGTTCGTGAAACGAAACACAGTAAGGCTACCTGCTTTCGGCAGATAGCTGACAGATCAATGAAACATACAGAGAAGGCAGTCAATTACAGCCAGGCACATAGTACAGCACAATAAAGATACAGGCAACTTTTCCCACATATTGTCCAAGTTAGTCCAAGTGGCTAGTTTTGCCACAGAGACCTATTTATTAAGGTGCATCAGGACTGTAGTGTAAAGAATACAGATATGTATACCTAATCAGTGATGTATTTAGGTTTTGTGCTGCCCTAGGCAGGAGGGTGCTCGGGCACCCCCCCTAATTAAAATTTCCCCCACCCCTTCATGTCAAGGCTGCACTTTGACTGACAGATGCACACTTACTGACAGACTCACACAGTCACTGACAGACACACACTCTCATATACACTGACAAAAAAAATGACATACACACACTCACTGATTTGACACACTGATAGACAGACATACACTTAGACACACACTCATACTGACAGACGCACGCACTGACTGACAGACACACACTCACTCATTGAAACACACACATTCACTGAAACACACACATTCACTGACACACTCACATTCACTGACACATTCACTGACTCACATTCACTAACACACATTTTCTCACACTCGCAATTATTATTATTATTATTTTTTTATTTAAATCCACCCAGCCTCCCTACGTTTGGGATAGCTGCGTGGACTTTTCACCTGAGGTCCAGTGGGGCTGCTGGGCAGGGAGGCGGCCAGACGTGCAGTTTTCAGTGAGGGAGCACTTTCCCCTCAGCTCCCTCGCGCGCCGCAGAGTGATGCCGGGAGCCGGAATATGATGTCATATTCCGGCTCCCGGCATCATTGCGGGTTGCATTGAAAGTGCTGCCTCGCCGCCCACCCAGGAAGCCACTGGCCGCCTGCCCCGGGGGAGCCTAGTGGGGAGATAATGGCTGTGGTATGGGGTCAGGGGCTGAATTGGGGAATGGCTGCAGTTGGAGAAAAAAAGGCTGTAATGGATAAGAGTGACTGTAGTGGGGGAAAGGGACTGTGGTAAGAGAATAGGGGTTTTAGTTGGAGGGATAGAGGCTGTAGTAGGGAAGTTAGGGGCTGCAGTGGGGGATAAGGACTATAGTGAGGGGTTCTGGGCTACATTTGGGGGTAGGTACTGTAGTGTGGGATAGGTGCTGCAGTAGGGGTGGGGGTATGGGACTGTAGTAGGGTGCTTAGGGCTGTAGTGGGGGATATGAGCTACTTTGGGGTATGGGGGTTCAGTGGGAATAAGGGGCTTTAGTGGAGGGGTTCGGTGCTGTAGTTGGGTTAGGGGCTGTTGTTGGATTAAAGGGGCTTTAGTAGGGGGTTTGGGGCTGTAGTAGGGTATGGAGGCTGCAATTTTACAGTAAGGGGCTTGTAACGGATCACCTGGTACCCCGATTGGGCACCTCCGTTGACGGACGCTTCCTAGCTGACGCCGAGGACCATAACCACGCACCGGAAACCACAACCACTGCAGACTCCACAACCGCCGTAACTTACCTGGAGTCACACCGTCTTCCTTCCACCCTGGATCAACCTCTGTCCTCCAGGACCGTGTGGGAAAGACCTCTCCTCCAGGAGAGCGTATCAGGAACAGCTCTTAAAAGAGCTAAGTGATTAGAGCTCAGGGGAGTATAAAAGTATAGCAGTTCCCTACAATAACGAGACAAGACTATGTATTGAAGGTTAAGCAGGAACAGAAGGAACTGAGGCTTTATTTATTTATTTTTTTATAATTTGTATTTTATTGTAGTTTGCACATACAAATTACAACTGTTCGCAGTATGAGATAAGTAAGAAAAAAATAAAACAGTAGTTACACATGGTCTAAGATGAGGCAATACATACATAATGTCACCTAAGAGGTAAGTATGAAACCATGTGTTACATTCAGGGCCACCCTTAGGCCTTTAGGCGCCTGTGCGAAAAATCTTCACAGCGCCCCCCCTCCCCCGTCATCCATGTATGATGTAATGTTTGTGTTGTCTGTGTATGTGATAGGTGTGATGACTGTGTGATATATATGCTATGTGTGATATCTGTATTGGGTGTATTAACTGTGTGTGTATGTGTGTATTGGTTGTATGTGATATTTTGCCACACAACACACAGAGGCAGACAGCCACACAGAGGCAGACAGCCACAAACACACACACACACACACAGACTCTGGCAGACAGTCAGATTTAGTTCAATTAGACGAACGGCAACCATTTGTGCAAACAGTCAATGTTAAAGTGCTGTTCGAATTGTCAAACAGTTTTCGACTCCAGTCGAAGCGTCGAAGTCTGGAGAAGGTAAAGTTCAGCGGTGTTCGACCCGTCGCATATCCGATTTGAGTTCCATGAACTCGACAACTAGACACCGCTGAACGCTTTCGACTGAATTAAAATGGCCGCCGCCACGTGTTCGTATGTCGAATGGCAGCTTCTTCGACTACTTCGGCACTTCAGCTGCATCCGAAGTGCCACTTCAAAAGTGCAGAACTGTACCAGTACCATTTAAAGGGGCAGAAACAGTGCTCCAAAATACAATAGGCACAAATAGAGTTTTTAAAGGGCAATACAACCCAGGGGCCATAGTCACAGGGCAAGAGGCTGTCAAGAAGGCCTCTCCAAAAGCCAATGAAGAAGGGTAGTTTGTTACAGGGCTGTAGTAGGGGGTTATGGGTTAAAGTAGAGTATGGGGGCTGTAGTGGGGACTAAAGGACTGTAGTAGGGTGTAGGGTCTGTAGTAGGGGGATGTGGGCTGCAATTAAGGGCTAGGGGCTGTAGTTGTAGGCTAAATGCTGTAGTCTAAGTTGTCTAAGGAGGGATGCTATGTTTAACTTGCTATGTCTTTCAGATTTCCTTACAAAAGAGTTGATATACACTATACTCGATGGGCATTCCATTGTATCATTCACCTGTCATTCCATAGAAAAGAGCTATAATCCCAGTTACTTTTAACGTTACAATCTGCTGCTGTACTTGGGGAACCCCTGTGGCAAAGGTTAATTTGCTATGTAACACAGATTTCCCTGCAAATGAGTTTATATTCTACTTCCCACTATACTCTATGGGCATTCTCTTAATTCATTCACCATTGTCATTCTATAGAAAACAATGATAATCCCACTTAATCTCAATTTAAAAAAATTGCCACTGAACGCGCAGAGTATGCCTGCAAAAGATTTACTTGATATGTTTTACGGTTCAGATACCAAGTCACATATTGCTTCCCATTATACCCTATGGGCATTCCATTGTATCATTTACCTGTCATTCCATAGAAAAGAGCTATAATCACAGTTACTTTTAATTTTACAATCTACTGCTGTACTTGGGGAACACCTGTCTAAAAGATGAATTTGCTACATAACACAGATTTACCTGCAAATGAGTTTATGTGTTGCCTCCCATTATAGTCTATGGGCATTCCCTTTAGTCAGTCACCATTGTCATTCTATAGAAAACAATTATAATCCCACTTAATCTCAATTTCAAAAATTGCCACTGAACTCGTAGAGTATGCCTGCAAAAGCTTTACTTGATATGTTTCACGGTTCAGATTCCAAGTCACATATTACTTCCATTATACTCTATGGGCATTCCATTGCATCATTTACATGACATTCCATAGAAAAGAGCTATAATCCCAGTTACTTTTAATTTTACAATCTACTGCTGTACTTGGGGAACACCTGGGGTAAAGATGAATTTGCTACACAACACAGATTTACCTGCAAATTAGTTTATGTGTTGCCTCCCATTATAGTCTATTGGCATTCCCTTTAGTCATTCACCATTGTTATTCTATAGAAAACAATGATAATCCCACTTAATTTCAATTTCAAAAATTGACACTGAATCTGGAGAGTATTGTGGCAAAATATGGATTTCATATGTGTAATAGTTTTGTCTCTAATTGAAATATTTTGTTTCCATTATTCTCTATGGGCATTCCTTTCACTTCCATTATTCTCTATGGGCATTCCTCTGCCTTGTTAAAGTCTATGGGCATTCCAATCTGTCATTCCTTTTAGTATGTCCCCTCTTTGGAGGGGGTCATCTAAATGGCGAGGAGATCACTAAAGAGTTAGGAATGCATGTATTTATTCTTGTCTTGTAACAATTCACAACAATTTTTCTTTCAGTCATTTTCTATAATTTAAGTCAAATAGAAAAGTAGGAGTGTGAATAAAATACAACGTCTTAAATAGTTTCTTTGAGTGAATATTTTCAGATCATATAAAAAAGAAACTAACAAAACATACAGGTTTATGTATGTTGTCACTAAGCACTTGTATCACAGTTTAGTTGATTTTACACAGATTTGCATACTATTTTTTTTGGGGGGGGGGGTGCAGGGGGTTGTTTATTTGTTTTATGAGATTCAAGACACTATTTAAGAACATTAGTTAAACCAATATATTTTAGTCAAACTCCATCTTTTGTATTTGTGTTGTGTTTTACACAGCATATTGGTGTATATTGAGAATATTGTACGTGGGTGTCAGTAGCGTTAATTTAATTTTGCACTAATTATCCCTACCATTTTTGTTTATTTTATATAATTTACTTAGTTTGGGCTAGAATTTGCTAATCATGACAGAGTATATTATGTTTATAATACTATAGTACATAGTTTTATTGGCCCACCAGCGGTCCCTGCCAAAAACTATGTGCTACTTAGTTTGGTTAAACCCTAGAGTGTACACTACATGACTTGAGCCCCTTAAGAGAAAATGTGCAATAAAAATTGTATTATTATCATTGTAATTGTCCTCAACCCTAAAATGTAGTGTTAGTTAACGTTATGTTAATATTGGCGAAACTAGTCTATATTATTTCTGCTTATTCATATCGAGTTATTGTTGCATTAAAATTAGGAATATAGGGAAAGAAATCCTTGCATTCCAGTGAGCTGTTTTCTGCATGTCTGTAAAACAGGGACATCTTTATCCAAGCAGTGCTCTGTGTTTGTGCATTAATTCATTGGATTGCCCTGGCTTGGTCTGCCAGCGTCTTGCGTAAGATAATGTTGAATTTGATGAGTATTGAAGAGGTAACATTTTACTTCCAACATTGCCAAAACTTTTGTTTTCCTGGATTAATGTCCTAAAAAAACAAATAATATCAATAAATGAAAAATATAATAAAAGGAAACTGAAGAGTAACATCACAGTCGATCAAAATGAAAAATACTGAGCATTTTAGGAAACAAAAATCTATGGCAGTAGCGTCTCTGACATTACAGGAGACTGTGGGCACATGAGATGCAAGAATGCATATGTCACAAATAAATAGACAAATTTAATATACAACTGCAAATGCATGTTTCTTGAAAAGAAAAATGCCCTATACCCCAGTCATGCTGCTTTCAATGTTCACTAGAAAGCTAAAGCAAACAACTTTGTCTAGTTTTTTTTTGTATGTTGTCTGATGTGATTTGGTTATTTGTATTTTAATGAGCAAATGGGCTAATACCAAGTAAAAATATAGCTGAGCATGTTAGCACCTTTTTGGATTGTTTGTCCTGTGTGGATTTTTAGGGATCCAGGTCACACAGTCTTCGGACCTGTTGGCTGGCTGCAGGGCCGCCACCAGAAATTTCGGGGCCCCTTACAAAGCACAAGGTCTGGCAGTCCCCCTCCCCCCCCTGCAATGAATGCAGTGTGTGTGTCAGTGTAATGAATGCAGTGTGTGTGTTAGTGTA